GAATATTATCTTTTACTGACACGGGAAAGGCTAGAATATGGAACCAGTTACCGCATCTATTTGTCAATTCTGTTTTCTTTTCTGTGTAATCACCTTCTACATTTATATTTTTGTTCTAATTTTCCTTATTTTTTTTTAACTCTCTGGCAAATGCTGATTTTCTTATTTTATATAAACACATAGCATTATAAATTTGCCATTAAGTAAACTGACAAATGGGTCTCAAATCTAAGACTAAAGAGCCAAAGATCTGAAGCTCTTCTAGAGTGTTGGGGTTAATGTAGAGCATGAAATCATCCATAGTACCTGGCTTGCTAAAATGTAACACGGAAGCCGCTGGGGGCAGGGAAGGTTTCTGAGAAGGGCCTAGGCCTTGGAATGCTGGGGCCTGCAAATCACTCTGCCCGAGGCATGCCATGGGGAGTTACCTTCCCTGAAGCTAGCTTAGCCCAAACAGCCACCCTGTGATCTAAGAGATGTATGCATTGTCCCCTAAAGCTATGTTTAGCAGAACTCCTTGAACAGGCTGATCAGCGCATTGTATCTTTCCCGTAATCAGTGTTCTATTTTCTGCAAGACTCCTTGCCACACATCACTTGCTTGAGAAACAGAGTAATAAAGATTTAGGATTATCCTGAAGCACGAATAAAGGTGAGAGCAAAGAAGAGCAAAGGGTCTTCGTCTCTGACCGTTGATCCCCTTGCCTTCTCCTCTCTTTCACGGCAAAGTTTGGAGTCATCTTTCATCTGTCGGTACAGGGATTGCTGGCCATTCCTGGCACCAGAATTCTGAGATTAGTGAAAATTTCTTTGAACTTCATGTTTTCTCTCTTAAAAAATGTGGCTTTTTACATTCTATTCCATGTGTTTTAATAGAAATATCATTTTTCTCAGGGTATTAAAGCAGGTTGGTTGACAGCTCAGAGGGAAGATGGATTATATTTATTTAGTGGTTATATCCTGCAGCATCTTCACATATCCCTAAGAGTAAACGTGTTCAGAATAATTTTGGCTATAACCTACTAACTTTATATGTAATTTATTACATTTTAAAATTTAAAATTTTTATTTTTACATTAATAAAATGCTTTCTTGGTCAAAGAAATAAATTTGTCAAGCATAGGAAATGTACAAATGTCTAGATTATATAAAAATATATCTGATTAAAAATGAAAAGGCAAGTAAGATAGCTTTCATTTTTATTTTTTTAATTTTTTTTAAAGATTTTATTTATTTATTCGACAGAGAGAGATAGCGAGAGCAGGAAC